TTTTTTTTTTTTTTTTTTTCCTGTGAAGAGACACCATGGCCACAGAAATTCTTATTAAAAAAAAAACATTCAATTGAGGGTGGCTCACTTGCAGTTTCAGAGGTTCAGTTCATTATGATCATGGCAGGGAGCATGGAAGTGGTGTAGGAGGTCCTTCTGTTTGTGTGTTGTTTTCATTGGTGAATGAATAAAGAAACTGCCTTGGCCTAGTTGATAGGGCAGAACATAGGTAGCTGGGGAAGACAGAACTGAATGCTGGGAGGAAGAAAGGTGGAGTAGGAGAGAGACACCCTGGAGCCGCCAGAGACAGACATGCTGAATCTTTCCCGGTAAGTCACTGCCATGTGGCGATATACAGATTGATAGAAATGGATTAAATCGAGATGTGAGAGTTATCCAATAAGAGGCTAGAGATAATGGGCCAAGCATTGATTTAATTAATACAATTTTTGTGTGGTTATTTCGGGGCTAAGCTAGCCGGGCAGCCAAGATGAACAAGCAGGCCCTCTTTACAACAAGGCAGCATGCAGGCAGATGTGGTGCTGGAGCTGAGAGTCCACATCTTGCTGGCAACAGGAAGTCCACTGACTGTCACTCTGAGTGAAGCTTGAGAAAAAGACCTCAAAGCCCACCCCTCCAGTGACGCACTTCCTCCAACAAGGCCATGTCTCCTCATAGTGCCACTCCCTTTGGGGGCCATTTTCTTTCAAAGCACCACATATTCCTAGCTGGAAACCTTGGGTAAAGGGTTGGATTTCTCTAGCTGCTTTCTCATCTATAACCTGGAAATTAATGATATCCCTTACTTAGAGGGATATCATGAAAACTAAATGAGTAACTATAACATGCTCTGTAAATACTTGCCACATATTATAATTTCAATATATTTTGGGTATTATTTTTACTTTACTCTGGGATATTTAGAAAGTACCAGTTTTAATGTTTTTCATCGGCAAAATGAAAAGTTTCTACCACAGAATCTAGTGAAAAAAAAAACTCTGCTTGACTGTGGAATATTGCGTTCTTTGAGGCGGTCCTCGTCTGAGAATACAACTTTAGGCTTTGAGATGGATTACAGAAAATACATAGCACACAACCTGTCATATCACACCGTGCCAAATGTTCAGAAGTACAGAAGTACATACACCCTTTATGGCAGTGCCCCTGATTTTTGCCTGCAATTTTGTATTCAGAGAACTACCTTTATTTAGTATGTTAGAGGCACCATTATTTCTTAACTATTTATACTGTGATATAATCTGAAAGGATTGGAGCTGGATTGCAGAAAGGGATTGGAGATTATAAATGCTCTTAATCAAAGTTGCAGAATTAAAGCCAATAAAGGCAAAGAAAGACCAAGTAAAATTTTTATAAATATTTTATTTTGGATAATCAGGAATTTTCATGCAGTTAATTCAGAGTATTTTAGCCTTCCAATTAATCATCATAAAACATTTCCCATGGAAAGTAAAAAGACTGTGATATGCCGTCATGCATATTGTAATGTGTTAGTTCAAGGTCACATTTCCCTAAACACACAGTGTTTTGATTTCATCAGTCACATTTCCCAAGTTCTTCATGATTTAACTCAGTGAAATAGAATAGATTTAACAGCAAAATAAAATCATTGATTGATTCGTTGACCTATGTATAAATAATGTGATACGCAGGAAAAAAACGAGGAAAAGATCTGTTATTGTGCATAAAATATGCTTACCTGTAGTTAAAGCCCAGAAAGAATTTCTGAAATGTTTTTAGTTTGATATTATGGGTTAATCATTTATTTATCTTTATAACTTTTGACAATAATATGAATTCACTCTCTAATCTTTGAGCTCCATGAGTTAATGAAACATCAAGTCACAGCAACATTTTAGTCATTTCTAATTGTTATTATTATGAACAATAACCATGATAAAAGTCTAGAGTTCCTATATTTTGATCTCATTAAATTCTCAGCTAAGAGATGACTGATTGTAATGAAGAATGCCAACACCGATGCTGATGCTCAGTTCATGGGGCGGCTAGTAAAGCAAGAGTATGCCAGCAGTGCCCACCAGTTAAACCTCAGGTCTCTGTTCCTACCTTGGTGAATATACATAGAGCGAAGTTAGCATGTGCAGACGTTGAATTTTACATTCTGACACCCAAGACAGGCAAGTGCCCTCTTTTCCATCCTTGATTATATTATATTATATAATTATTCCCATACATGTATACCCAAATCCTTAAAAATATATATTTGTAACATTTACCAGCTCATTTGGCAAACCATTATTGCAATGCTATAACCAATGGCCTTTGGGGGTAGGTGTTAAGTGTGTTTTTCTAAAAATAATTAATATTATGTAACATTTCAGTCTTTAGTTAAGAAACCTCAAAACCTTTCTGAGTATCGGGGCACAAGCCACCTTCCAAGGCTGTTCTCTAAGGGCTCAGTAGGTGAAGTAACAGCTAGCGAATACTTTCGAGACCAGGTGTTGCTCTGTAATGGTTACTTTACTAAACACAATCAGACCAACAAAGAACTTTCAGAACGAGCCGTTTCCTCACCCTATCCCATCTCATATCATTTTGTAGTCAAGGAACACAAAAATTCCAAGAGTGAAGACTCACGAGAGTAAAATGTATGACAGAAAAGAATACTAAAGCGATGACAGGGGGCTGGCAGAATGGCCCTGTACAGGTTACAGGTCCAGTTCCCTGTCCTCACAGGGGGGCTCACAATAATCTGTATGGAACCCTAGTTCCAAGGGATCCAATGCCTCTCCAGGCACCACGCATGTATGTGGTGCGCAGACACACACTGCAGACAGATGACACAAGTAAAACACAAACAAATCTGTGTGGAAAGTGAAGATGGAAGAAAAGCAACCCACCTGACGGATGTGCCTGTGTGTTAGGTGGGCGTGTGGATTGACTGATGTGGGCTATAACTAAGAAATCCGATGTTGCCTTCAGCCGGAGTTTGTATTTCTATCAGTTGTGTTTACCCATACAGAGGTTTTCCTGTGCACCTTATACAAGTTACTAATTGCTTTGCGTTTCTGCTTGTTCATCTGCAAAATGAGAAAAGTAAAAATAACTGCCGTAGTATCCAGTATGAAAAACACCAAGAAAAATAGTTTAAGGATGGAAGAATTTATTTTGAATAACTGTTTCAGAGTTTGGGGTCTATCACGACAAGAGTATGGTGTGGAACAGTTTGCCTCACAGTGACTCGGAGGAGCAGGGGTAATCTGTTCCCAGCCTACAGGGCGGTACCGCCCACATTTGCACTGGGTCCTCCTTTAAAGTAAGTTGATCCTCTCTGGGAAGGCCTTCACAGACATGTTAAGAAAGGCACTTCATTTGTCTCCTTGGACGGTTTCAGTCCAGACAAGACCAAGGTTAAGCACCACACAAACATGACAAGATGGTAGGGTCCGTTCACGGAAAAAACGTTTCAAGTGCTTGGCGCTTTCTGAGTACTACCTG